CAGTTGAAGGCTGTACTTCGCCGCGTTGATGGTTTCGTTTGGTTGAAGAAGCTCATAATATACCACGCCCTTAAAATCCCACCAGATACTCAGAAGAACCTTTTTCGCGTGAAGCCCCGGCTTGGCCACTGTTTGCGTAGACGCGTCGCTGGTTCCCCACGACCTCTTGCGGCTAACATAATTGTATAGGATCCAACTTTCATCGCCTGTTATGATCCTCTTCAAGAACGGTTCTTTTTGGTGCCGTTGAAGCAGCATATCGCAGACGTTCACACGTTCCAGCAACTGCCGTTCATTCATTTCGTGTGGCACCCACACATCCAGTCGACTTGAGAATCCTAACTTCTTCAGATGGTCATGCACGGTGGAAACAGACTTGTGCAGAGTGTCGGCGAGTTCTCTAACTGTCACTCGAGGATTTTCGTGCACGAGATCCATAAGAAGCGTTTCATCAACCTCCTGAGGCCGGCCTGAGCGAGCTTGATCTTCCATGTTGAAATCGCCAGCTTCGAATCTTCGATACCATTTTCGAACTGTCTGGTGAGTGACGCAGGCGTCTCCATATACTGAGAACATCTCATTCAGGGTCTGCGAAGCCGTGAAGCCACGTTTAAAGCAATATAGCATCACATGACGAAAATGGACTTTTCTCCATTTTTCAAACTGATTTCTGACGAAATAGTTGCACTTAGGAAGATCTGCGAAATTTCCTTAGTGGGCTCATAGATCCGGGAATGTTTGTTGACAAACATAAAATCGTTTAGAGCGCCCTCGTTCTTACTGATTACATAGAAATGTGGAGCGCGCGAAATTTGAAACGAACTTTCCGAACAACCTAATATATGTGTGCAAAATTTTATTAAAACCTCTATTTAAAAAATTAAAATCAAAATTTTTGTTTTTGTGAAGTTTTCTTATAAATGACGTTAGTAAACAATTAATATACGACCTGTACTTGCTCTTATCTGCACTTGGAGTGAGACTCTACTATGTCTCTCGACTCTACTATGTCTCTCGACGTTTAGTTCTGATTAGCAAGTTATAAATTTGCTAAATGATCAACATAATTCATCTTTTCCATATAAATTTATGAATTTCATATTAATAGCAATTCGGAACATCAATGCAATTGTCAAACTTGCACTAACAGTCTTTCAGAAATGTTAGTGCGAAAGAATTTTCATAACTCGACTCTCCTACATGAAAGAACTTTTCATATCGCTCTCACTTGAGTTCACAAATATTCGCCAAACAGTGCAAATATTGATGTATGTTTCGCTGCGCTACCGGACATTGATATCTAGGCCTATTCAACTACAGCCTCAAGCTTCGAGGCTTGTAAATTTCTTACACATTCAAATAGCTACAAGGTAATGATCCTAATAATAAATCAAGTCCCAATTTCAAAATAAACATGATATATTTATTAATTTAAGAAAGTAAGTCATTACATATTTTAATAGAAACATGGAAACAAAATTTTTATATTCTCCCGTTCTTTTACGATTATTATATTCTAAGATTGTTTTCATAAAAATCGTTAATATTTAATGAATAAGTGTAGAATATCGTAATTTACCAATTTCTTAAATTTATTCTTTAAAAGTTTTATAAGAAAATCCACAATAGTGCCTCCTTCTGATTTTAATAGACTTTTAATATGTTGAAATCTAAATTAAAAATAGATAATATATATTTTTATAAATGTTCACACGCATGTTTAAATACGTAAGTAAAAACAATTAAAAAAGAAAAACATTCTTTTTCTTTTTGAGTAAATAACATCAAAGTAATAGAAGATAAGAAGAGCGTTTCAAACAGATTTTTTTTATAATCTTGCATGTATTTCATAAAAGTGTTTCAAAAGTTTTAAAAAACGTTATATTTTTAACATATCCCCACTAAAGTTGCAATTTTTATGAATGTGCCATAAAATCTTGCACAATCTAAATAGTTTCCTTGTATATACAGAGTGTCCGAAGATAAATACAACATCCGCCCGCCGTGTGTTTGTAAATTAGATTGTAACTGGAAATTGAAGTACAGCAGGAAGCAGTTGCAAGGTGAGACTAAATAAAAGAGCCCTATTTTGTAAATGTACATTTTTCAGTTATTAATTAAAAAGTCAGAACAATGAGCGTGATTATAATGCACGAACTCTGTGATGGCAACGCCCAAACACCCCACTCGCTGTTCGCCAATGGCCGGCCTGCAAGGGGCGGAATAAAGCTTATCGTTTCCAACGTTACTTCGTAATACTTCAATGCAATTTAGTTAATATAGAAAAATGCTTTGACTGCTATTAAATCTACTAGTAGACGAAATATTAGAGGAATTAGCAAAAGGTCCAATGTTTCCTATTTCATTACAATGTAAATTTACTAGTTGAATAACATTGAATAAGAAATCTAACTTAAAAACATTTCTATTTGCAGGAGAAGAGAATTAAAATTTGTACAATATGCAATACAAAAACTTCCAAATCATAGTAACTTTTAGTTTTGGAAATAAATTGTTAAATATACGATAGAAAATATAACCTTTTTCAATAAATATATTTTTATTACTCTGTTTCTTTTTATTCTGAAGTTAAATTGCAATACTCTTAAATAAAATAATGAACTAAATAATTATATACATATGGGGCATTCTTTGTCAGCGGAAGACCCCCTGCTGCCCAAAATTGGTTTCGTTTGAATGAGGTCAACGACGGCTCAAATTAAAGCTCATACAATCTACTTTCGAAAGCTGAGTGGCAAATTTCAAAATTTAGCGTGGCGGACTCAATATGGCCGTCGTAATTAGATGACGTCAGAATTTTTTTGATAATATTAAAAATAATATTAATTCGTTGATAATTCATTCCGATTTTTGCTCAAAATCACTGCTGTAAACTTGGAGGTTGCAGGGATCGTTACCTAAGATCGGCTGCGCCGCTTGCTTGACGAGCCGCCGCCGCTGCCGCTGTAGTGGGGCACCGCGGCTACTAGCGGAGCCATCTCCGTTCGGATCTCCTTAGAATCGGAGCGGTGCACAGTGAATTATTTTGGGCCCTATGTTTTTGACCTTATAAAAAGGCTTTGTTTTTTTAAATATTACTATTTTTTCGTCACCTAACGCCTACGCCTAAGTATGACCAAATTTTGTGACCTTCAAATGACCCCTAAATGTGACCTTGAGTCAAAGCAACGTCACCATCCGATTGATCCCTGCAACCTCCAAGTTTACAGCAGTGATTTTGAACAAAAGTCGAAGTGAATTATCAACGAATTAATATTATTTTTAATATTATAAAAAAATATTCTGACGTCATCTGATTATGGCGGTCCTATTGGGTCCGCCACGCTAAATTTTGAAATTTGCCACTCAGCTTTCGAAAGTAGATTATATAAGCTTTAATTTGAGCCGTCATTGACCTCATTCGCACGAAACCAATTTTGGGCAGCAGGGGGTCTCCTCCTGACAAAGAATGCCCCATATATATATATATATATATATTAAATAATATTAAATAAATATTAAATAATTATATATATATATAATTATTTAATTCACCATTTTATTTAAAAAAATTGCTATACATATATACATATATATATATATATATACAGGGTGGGGGGTTATAAGTTTACAACCCGAAGTGTGAAAGTAGATTGGGTTAAGACAAACATAAAAGTCCCATACCGTTTTGCGAGATTCACAATAATTATCGAGTTATTAATGACAGAAATCTGAGGAGCGGGAGCGCACCGGCATAGATGATTGGAGAAGCGTTGCAACTGCTTAAGCCACAGCACGGCCCAGTCGATCCAGCAACTATTGCCGGTGCGCGGCGTGGGGAAAGACAATGCGCCGCTATTCGTTGTTTTATCTCGCCGGACCTACGTCTCGCCGCACGCCGCCAACAGTTGCTGGATCGAGTGGGCCGCGCTGTGGCCTGAATAGCTGCAACGCTTCTCCAATCATCTATGTCGGAGCGCTCTCATTCCTCAGATTTCTGTCATTAATAACTCGATAATTATTGCGAATCTCGCAAAACGGTATGGGACTTTTATGTTTGTCTTAACCTAATCTACCTTCGCACTTCGAGTTGTAAACTTATAACCCCCCCACCCTGTATATATATACATACATACATATATATATACACACACATATATATATATATATACATATTTAATTAATTTTGGGTATATAAATTCTCTCAAATTTTATAAATATGTTCAACCAAGAAGGTTCAACATCAGTAAGTTTATATGAGATTTATTCTTCACATAAATAATAAGTAAAAATCTTTATCAAACCTTCATCATGCTAATTTGATGTAACTTTACAATATGCTAATAGTTACCGATAAGATTAGCAAGACTTCTACGCAAGGTAGTACGTACTGTAAATCGCAAGGTGGAAAAAGTATTATAGTATGTCTTTACAAATAAATATTAAATATCGAGACAAAGACATGATTACTAGTAAATACACGCTGTACATTGATATTAGTTTACTTATGTAAAAACTACAAAACAAATAGTAACATATAGTAATAGGTACTTTTAGTTTTTATTATTTTTTCAGGATTTAAAATAATTAAAAATCTGATAATTAAATTAAATAATATTTTAAGTACTGTTAAAAATCACCTGCGCAATACGTATGTCTGAAAGATGTTTTAAGACGTTTTTGAGACATGCATGTTGTGTGGGCATTCTCGTTTAATGTCGTCAAAATGATCAAAATTTCCTTCGGATTTCCATCAACAAGATATGCGTTATTAAATTGTGATTAAAAACTCATGAGATATGAAATTTTACCTAAGAAAAAATTATACTATAACTATATGGCGCGTTTTAAAAATATGAGATAATTGTTGACCCCTAATCAAGATTTATGTATAAACGTTTTTAATCAACGTTTTTTAATAAATGTTCCTAAATACTTTTTCTAAAATTTAAAATTGGTCAATTTAAATTAAAAACATCTAAAATTAAATATTAAAATTATAGTATCTGTTGCTTATATTTATATCGACAATTCCTTTTAATAATCGACCAACAAATTTGTATAAATGAATGACAAAAGCTACTTTAGCCTCAAACAATTTACAATTAGGACCGTTACCTTATCGCCCAGCTGTCTCCGTTTAAATCACGATCACATATTCATTCGAAGCACATTGCAACAATAATTCAAGCAACAGCGACGCGTCTCACTTAATTTCCACATCGCTATCCACGAGCACGATTCATCCACGACGTCCGCCGACGAAGCAAGCTCGCCGAGACAGACAGCCGGTTCCGCTTTTCGGTTTCGGTCGCTCGATCACAGACAGGGGGAGGAGGAACGATGATGCAGCGGTCGCCGAGTCGCCGACGGGGATCGCTAATTGGGGGAGGACGGGCGTGTCCGTAGCGGCGGGGGTGTGCTGGCTGTCGCTTGATACGGTACATACCTGAGGCCGGGGGGCGCAGGGGCGGTAGGGGGCGACGATCGTCGCGAGATCATCGCAACCGGGGATGGTTGCCAGGACCACAACGGATACGGGAAGGCCGGGCCGACGGCAGCGGGGGTGGAGTAGGGTGAGGGTGAGCTCGCGGCACCCCTTGCGCCGTACAAGAGCGCCGACGGTGGTAGCCAGGGTAACGGGTGGCCACCGTTCTCATGCTGCTGCTGTTGCTGCTGCTGCGCGGATGGCGGGTGATGCTGTTGCTGCTGCTGTTGTTGCGCGCCGATCGCCGCGGCGGCGGCAGCAGCCGCCGCCGCTGCTGCCGCTGCCGGGGTCGCCATGGCTAAGTGCTCGTAAAGTCTGACCGAAGGTACGCCACATCTCATCAGTTGTTGCTCCATCATCTCCATCGGGTCCCTGGAGCAATCGAGCGAAGTGACGTGAGTGAAACAAACAAGTTGAACAAATAATCACGGTGTACATGTATACGCATATGCTCGCGAAATCGAAGGCAAATGTCAATAGAGAAAGGTAAATTAATCGATAAAGACAAAGAGAGAAATCTTCACGACGACGGAAGTTTTCAAGTACGGATAAAATAAAGAAACGTAGGCAAGACACAGATAAACGAGATGTCACGGATCTTGTTAATCGATGTGAGAAATAAGCGAAAATGTCAAGTACGTTAGATAATATCATTTGTGACAATAAGTAGTGATCTCCCCTCCCTTCGTAGAATCCCACTCCGAGCATCGCCGCTAGTTAGGCGTTTATGCAGGACGAGACGAAGAACGGAATCGAATCGAACCGAACCGCACGAGCGTGCTCCGTGCCATTGTCGTGCCGAGAGGTCGCGAACCCGCGCGGCAAATCCGCGCCGCCTTATCCCGCGCGAGACGGCGCGGGATCGATCGCGTGCGCGCGAGCGCGCGGCTCGATCGAGCAAATAAATCGTGTGAAGGCGCGGGAACGCGAGACAGCGAGATAAAATCGTTCGTCCTTAAGGCGAGAAAGAGGCGGCACTCCACCGCGCCGCGCCGCGTCGCGCCGCGCCGGCCGGCCGGCCGGTCGGCTGATTAATCGATCGACGTTATCGGCATTAATGGCACTTAAAAGGGAGTAAATCAATGAGATTCCTTCACGGCCGGTCGACAGACGGAGGGAGAGGAGAATGGCGGATAATTAAGACGAGCTTTTCTCTCGTAGGAACGCACGCGAGCGGAAAGAGGGAACACGACGATCGTCTCGCTTAGAGTCTCTTCCTCCCCTCGCGCATCCCGTCGCCTGTCCTCCTCCTCTCCTCCCACCCTCTCAACAACGTGATGGATGATTTCGTACGTTAGACACGGGCTTAATTAGGGTTAATTACAGCCGATTGTGCGCGCGGACGCGCCTTCGTTGCTTCGTTACTATCGGCAGAAACGCTAACGAGCGGATTATTGGCCGATCGCGTATGAAAACGCGTCGTAAACGGCCAGAGGATTCCACCCTCCCCGTCCCCCCCCCTCCCAGGCCCCCATCCTCCGCCAGCATGCGCTCACACCGACGATAATTAACGACGGGGTCTCATTGCGCGCGGAATCACGGCGAGTCACTTCCTACTTTCATGATTACGCGCGGGAGCGGAGTGTAAGGACAAGCCGATTATCGGTTGGTCCATCTTAATTATTAAGACTTCATTACGATATCGCGAAAACTGCGCCAGCGAGACGTGGAGCGGCCCCTTAATTGCTTTCGATTTCAGGCCCGCCGAGGTAAAGCCCATTGCGCTAAGCGAAACGAACGGGCGAGTCGGGATGCTTGATGGACTGCTGACGTGGTTTAACGCAGCCTGAATCGTTTCGTGACGTCGTTTGAAAGCGGACAAGTCACGGGATCTTAACGCTAGGAAGAAGGAAACGCCAATTTTAATCGGTCGGCGAATTCTCCATGGAAGTCATTACGTGAATTTTACACACTCGGCTGATCTTCCAGCTACCACGTTCGCGAACGACCTGTTACCTGAGAGAGACTAGAGAGACTCCTTGTATTTTTAACGAGAAATGGAAGTCGAAGAACGGAAGCATTGAACGGGATAAATATATGCACTTAATCCGGGGGATGACATGAATTTTAGAAAGTAGATCTTATCATGATCAGTCGAGTTAGTTGTGAACGAGGAATAATTCACGCCGAACTCCAATCTCGTGGGAATGTGCAAGGGATATAAAAATACACGTCAGACTTCCCGTTGATTTAGATATGAACGAAAGGATCCTCGTCGCATGAATTTTCAAGCATTCTGCCGAAAGCGAGGAGGGTGGAAGACGCGCCGCGGGTTTCGTTATCTATCTGGTTTTAGACGTCGAGAAAAGACGGGGACTGCGTCAATGGGTAGCTGCCAGTGCCTTCGCGCTTCTCGGAAGTCAAGTGGCTGAGAGACAACTTGATACACTAGTATCCTGCCGGATAATTTGAGCATGGGCCGCCCACGAATGATACCTCCTATCGATCATCCAGTTCCGCGAACCGACAGCGTGCTTCGGGATACTCCAGGATGCCTTTCATAAAGTCCCGGCGCTCGATAATTCAGCATTTCGTGCGTGAAATAATTCAAACGCGTGCATAAGGCAGTGGGGATTGAATGAATATATTTCTTTCTGTCCCCGTACTTCAATCCTGTGACTTTTAATTCGATACACACGCCTTTTCACGCGAGTATGTCTCTTGAAATCTTTTCGCACGCAATTGTAGCATTCCTATATAATATCACAGTTATTAAGAGTTATTAGGATTTAGTTTTGAGGGTTTTTTCTCGAAAGCTGATTTACTTAAACAAGATAATGAACGAATACCTTCGTCAAAATATTTTCCTTCGTTTTCTACAACTGTTTCCCATCTTCCTGACAAGAGATGGATTCCGCGACAATAAAAAGAGTCTTCTTTGAAGTTGATCCAATTTTCAACAATTTTTTGCATTTCTTCGAAGTTATGAAAGTGTGTATCCTCTAGAGCATGTTGTATCGACCGGAACAAGTGATAATCGGATGGAGCAATATCTTGAAAATACACGGGGTACAGTAAAATTTCCCATTTCAACTCTAATAGCATTTGCTTCACTGATAATGCAATATGAGGTCGAGTAACATGATTGTCGTGAAGGATTACTTTGCGTCGATTACTCGCAATTGGTGATCGTTTTTGGTCCACGCTCGCTTCAATTTGTATAATTGTTGTCGATGATGATCAGCGGTGACAGTTTCATTCGGATTTAACAGTTCATAGTACACAACAATTTCTTGACCCCACCAAATACACAGCAATACCTTTGAATCGTAAACGTTGCGCCTCTAAGTGGATGTTGCTGGTTGGCCTGGATCAACCCATAATTTTTTCGTTTAGGATTAGCGAAATAGATCTATTTTTCATCCCCGATGACAATTCGATACAAAAAATTCTTCATATTTTGTCTGGCGATCAACGAAATGCAAATGTTCATGCGGTTCGCGATGGCATTTTCCGATAATTGATGTGGAATCCATTTTCCTTCTTTGTGAATTTTTCCCATATCATGTAAACGTTTAGTAACTGTTATACGATAAACATTTTATGCTCTGGCAAGTTCTGAAGTGGATTGTGCTGAATTTTCGTCCAATAATGCTCGCAAATCTACATTTTCAAGCTTTTTCGCTTGTCGCGAGCGATCTTTATCATTAACATTGAAATCACCACTTTTGAATCATCCAAACCGATATTCACATGTCTTAATTGATAGAGCAACATCTATAAGCAACACTATAAGCAACACTATAAGTTTCTGTCAGAATTCTATGAGCTTCAGCTGCCGTTTCCTTCTAATTAAAAAATAAAAGCAACGCATGTTGAAAATGCTCTTTAGGAAGCTCCATTTTTAAGACGGTATTAATACGATTTTTACTGCATTTATTGTTAGTAAATGACTAAATATCATGGATTAATATTAAAGCATTAAGAAACAATAGCTGTAATTGGAGTGTCTTCGACAAAACTGACATTAGTACTATCTCTTGCAAAACCCTCAAAACTAAATCACACTCCTAATATAATGAGATCGGCAAGAAGACAAAGCAAGCGGAGAAAATATTGTTATCGTTATTATTATTGCAAGTAATTATCATGTAGATATCATCTCGAAAATCATGTAGGAAATGAAAAAGAATTATTTTTATATTTATACAGAAATGTTATAATAATAAGAAATTATATTCTTATATCTCCCCAACGACGCGTAAAGCCTAATATATAAGTAATAGTAGCCTATTCTCTGAAGAGCTACTTCTGTTAGCTATAATATATACTTCGGGGATAATCGTGACAGAATTGTCGAAATATACTTATCGATAGGTATAGAGCAACGAGAAGCTGGCAAATCGCCCTCCACATATCTTGGCGCGTACGAAGGCCGAGTCCGCAAAAGAATCGCGGCTTCAATTCAATTTCTGCGCTTCCAAGGGCGATCGTCGCCATCGTCGGTCATGGGACATTCAGTACGACCATGAAGCACTTCATCATCTCGCGCGACCAACGTCGTCGGGCTCGTACAATTCAATCCTATCGGGGCACTCTGTAATGATTCTGTCCCCGTGGACCATAGCCGGGGGACTCTCGCGGGTCTAGTTACCCTGGAGGTCACGGGGCCGCGTGACACCCAGCCAGCCGAGGCGAGAAGGGTCAGCCTTTCGCTGGGTAGTTGTTGAACCGGCACGTCGACGACGAGAGCCCTTGCACGTCATAAAAGTCGTGTTACGCGAGTGCGAGGCGAAACCATGTGACTTCGCAGCGCACCAAATGAGAAGAGAGGTGCCGTCGGCTGCGAAACAGGACTCGGCTGTTACAATTTTGATCAGATTTCTCAGCGTTTCAGAATCACGTCGTAATTTTGATGCTCGTCCAACGGTGAGGATTTAACCGCGCCTAAGGTGGCTTGGAAGTTCCTCTCGAGGTAGTTTCTCTCGAGAAATAAAATCTCGGCGACACACCAGAGTGTTATAGGATTATTGTTGCGATATAAGCTCTAAAAACATTTCTTCATCCTCCTATGAGGAAGTATGTCTCGCACATTGGCTTTGAATTACCGTGTTCTCTGCAAAATACTAATTATCGCGCACTCATATCCGGGCGATATTCTATGCCGAGCGCGCGCAGGTACCTTATTGATACCAGATCGAATCGCGAGACGATAAAAAGGCAAATCGAGCCGAAACGAGAGGTCCACTCGCGAGAAATCCGACGAGGGCGACGAACAAGGGCGGTGGTGAACGAGGTAGTGCGGTGGTTGCAGCAGCAGGAGCAGGAGGAGGAGGTAAAGGAACGTAGGGGGAGACCCAGGAACAATGGGTCCGGTGTGCAGTTCACGCGTCTCGGTTACCGCTCGACTATACCGCTTAGCACGTAACATG